ATGCCGCCCGCCCCATGTTGAGTGGAATCCTGGTGCTTGTGTTTGGGGTACAAGATAATTTGTGTGGCACGTGCAGACAGGGTCGCTAGAGATGTCAGTCACTGCGCCAGGCGACTGACCGGGAACTGAGGCGACTGAGGCCTGGGAATGGGAAGGAAGACTGAGGTCGACGTTTCAGCGCATTTTCCTCTCTATAAACAATCTGACGCGCTTGAAGCTATCGCAGTGCGCTAAAAGCTGTTGCTTGGAAAGTTGCCAGCTGACGGGATAACTCGGCCCTCGCAGTAAGCCCAGCTTGCGTTTGTGCGGAGTGGCGGACTGGTGAACTGAGTTTTGGGCTGCAATGGATCCTTCCTAATGTGACCTCTATGACATTCCCACCCAGTGGGATCTGAGCCGGGTGTGGTGGCACGCCTAGTGGTGGCCTTGGCCGCGCCAGTTACCCGCGCTCTCTCCTGCTTTCAGTCTTCCTGAGCCCTGTCTTGACACTGGGCTCATGTGGGGGAGGAGGAGAGAGAAAGCGATAGATACTGCGCAAGTCCACCATCACTATAGAAGAAATCGCACCCCAGTCAGCGTGCCTGCTCTCATCCTGCTGTGGGGCACACGGTGGACATCGTCGATCACGACAGTCGAACTGTCATATGTCAGTTAACCAAGTGTTTAATTCTCCGACTTTACCAGCTTCCACTCCAGGAAAGTTAATCTTTACAGAGTTTCCCTAGAGCGTTTATTTTGAAAAGGACTTTTCTTTTTCGGTAAACCATTCTAAACGAAGCCAGCGAACGCGATGTAAGCGGGAGATGCCCTCATTTTGAGTTTAGGACTGTCATACCACAGAATACCAAACGCTATCATCGTCGGATATTCTAAAAACCAGTCCTTCTCCTAAATTATTTTAACTGAGAACGCAAGGATAACAGCTCCTGACTAAAGCAATTATAGACCCAAGACCGAATATTTGTATGTGCGCTTGAGACAAACTGATATTTATGGTGCGGATAAGGATCTAATAACTAAATGTTTATGGTTGAAATAACTGATTCAGTGGGGATAGGGTAGCTACTTCGTTATCAAAGCTAGCAAAAGCAGTTGACATGCTGTGGTTGTTGTAAATGCTGGATTCGTGCTGCCTCCTTCTTCGACATCGAATGGACCAGCGAGAGGCGTTTCCGCCTCTGGCACATATACTGTGCTGGAGATCATGTGATCACGGCTCCCGAGCGACCGGAATACGCGTGCATGCCGCCTCGAGGGTAGCCAACCACGGGCACCCACAAACTCCGGAATCACTCAGACAGCTCACCAAGTTGACGCTGACTGACTGACTAACACGTAACGCCTACCCGTTAACGCCCATATCACCCTGGCGGATAGACGCGCGCGCAAGCACAGAGCCGGCAGCGCGCCGCGGGCACTAACCAGAATCGAACTTCTGTGCCGAATACACGTCTCCCCCTGGTCTTCTCCGTTCTCCTCGAAAATTGTACTGAGTCACAATTGTTGTGGTCATTTGTGTATACTAAATAATGAGAGACTACGACCTAAATTCCTACACTGACTTTTAGTTGACAAGATGCAGCTGCCTGTGTTTTGCAGTCCAGATAAGAGACAAAAGATCACATAACGACAGTTCGACCGTCGATCCCGACGATGGCCACCGTGTGCCCCACAGCAGAGTGGACATAGGGGCGGTGACTTGCACGTGAATTAGTTTGTAGCGATAATAGACTTGGACTACATCTACCGCAATCTCTGCTTGCCTCTTACCTGGGTCCCGTGGCACGAGAGGGCCAAGAAGACCAGGGGTGGGAGAGGACACAAATGGTTGACGTGGCGCGAACCCGCAACAGGGCGTGCCACCACAACACTGGTCTACACACAAACGACAAGGACTTAACAAGAAGGGGGAGGGGAGTGACTCGTAACCCAACTGATTGGGAGTGCCATAAGAAGGAGCCACTGCGGCTTGCCTCTCAGTCCACCAGTCGGTAACTTAACGCACAAACAGACTAGGCTGACTGCGAGGTCCCAGTTGGACCGTCATTTGGCAACCTTTCAAGCCACAGCTTTTAGCGCACAGTGATACACTCGAGCGTGTTAGATTGTTCATAGTGAGGAATATGTGCTGAGAATCGACATCTCTCTCTCGCTCTCTGTCTATCTATATCTTCCCTTCCCGTGCACCAGTCAGCTGTCTGAGATGGTCAAACAGCCGGTGCTGAGATTGAAGGAGGCAGCTGACAGAACTAGGAACAGCACGTTTGCGCGTGTCAAACACACGACCTGGCCCACGACAGTTTGATCCTCGTGCCCGGCGATGTTTACCATGTGCCCCACAGCAAGATTAAAGCAGGGGTGGTGCGCGCGAGTTGGTTTATAGTGGGAGCAGACTTGCACAACATCTACCGCACTCGCCCTTCCTCCCCACTACTGGACCCGGTGCCAAGACATAGTCAAGAAGACCGGAGGCGGGAGAGGACGCGGGTGGCTGGCACGATCGGACCCGCGCCTGGGCGTACTATCACACTCCTGGTCCACAACAAACACTTAATCAGGATTTCAACCAACAAGAAAACTAGGTCAGAAATAGAAGGATGACACAAGTCACTGGCCGACCATGCACACGACCTGTACACTCGGCGGGAGCGCAAGCGCATTCACCGGCACGGAGTCAGATGCCAGAGAACCACCAGCGCACACCAGACCGCGAGGGCCATAGATTGAGAGGCAATACCGATATACACACACTCCTTACATGCGTGAGACTGCCAGAAGATACGTAAAGAAGGAGCTGTTGCAGACTGACTCCCAGCCTATCAATCCGTAACTCCACACAAACACGCATAGCTGGGCAGACTGCGTGGAAAGAACTGGGACGTTAGTCACCAACATTCCAAGCCACGGCGCCTCGCGCACCGTGATAGTCTCAAGATCAAATAACACACGGAGCAGAGTAGTCACATGGAGAAGAAGTCTAGAAGCACACTTTCCACTTTATTGAGAGGAGCCAATTGAATGCTTTCGTTGTATGTCGATAGGTGATGTTGATGTCTGGTGCAGGTGTTGGCGGGGGAAGGTGTGATGGTGGGATAAAGTCGACAGTGGTCTACCGCAGGTTTTCATGAATGTGCATGTGACTATAAACGCGTATGTGGCGGCTGAATGTGCGGGACCAGTGAGAGAAATTGGGACAGATGCGGCAAACGTATGTGGGTGCTCCGAGCATTGGTTTGCCAATTGATGTGCGACGGATTCGCAAGTGACCGACCAGGCCGATGTATGAGCGGAATGGACGATCGCAATGAGGAAGGGTTGGGACGGAGTCCGCATCACTGGTGTTGGCGGTGGTGAGGATGTTGGTTGACAGTGCGTCAGGATCGTTTGTATTGGTGGTGAAAGTAGGAGCCAACGCAGCAGATGTTGAGGCGGGGATGGTAATGGAGGATGGCGACGGGGGATCGGGGGCACCATTAGAGTAGAAGGCGGAGCAGAGGTGGACACAAAGGCATCAGCTGGTGTCGGCTGAATAATGCAGTTGGACCGGAGATGTCCAGTAATAATTATTCGTATCCGAAATGTTCGCTGACACCATAGACAGGTTGAGGGCGGATGAGTGTTGGCGTTGAGAGGTGAACGCAGTTGAGATCTGCGAGCCTCGCGTTTGGCTTTGACGGCAGTTACGTGGTTAGCCTCGTAGATCGTTGCTCCTGTCTTCATTGTATCCCTCCACGCTGATCTGCAGGCATACCAGGGAAGTTTTCAGTTTCCTTGTAGCGCATCGTAGGCAGAATTGGGCGACGGTTGGTGCGTAATCACCGTTATCCCCGTGTTGATGATCAGACCAAAGTTGTCTCAGGCGGCGGTGGCGAAAGGTTCCATGTTCTTTTGCATGTTCCCTTCTGTGGTTGAGTTGAGAGCGCAATCGTCGGCAGGGAGAAGTTCATGGACAGTAGCTGTGGATACGCGCGACTGAAATTGAACCTGTCGGTGGTTGAAGAGTTGGCCGTGCGCCCCGTAGACGACGCGGATCCCAGGGCGTTCGTGACGGTAGGCGTCCATTAGCGTGGCGGGGGACATGAGACTGAAGAGGATGGGCGCTTGGACCCAGCTCTGCTTCACTCTGTTGGTTACTGCGAATGCCTCTAAGGCGAACGAAGATTCTCTCGGCGATGATGAGCAGGTAAATGCCTCCGTGGCAGTTCTCCTTTTCTTGCACAGATGGATGATTGTGGCGTCCTTGAAGTCCTGAGAGACATGTCCTTGGCGCCACGTCTCAGAAGAACGCGGTCAGGTGCTTAACAGGTTGGGGCCGTCGTGCTCGTAAATCTAAACAAGGTTCGCGTCTGATCGGGGTGTTTTCCGCTGGAGAGTTGCTGCACGGCGATGTCGTAGACAGTCCCAGGCTAGCTCGCACCGCTCTCCCACTAAACAAAGGTCGTGGCCCATAATGAAGTTCGGCAGCCGCCTGGAACAACTGAGCAGCCCTGTATAGGGCGGGTACTGCTCACCCCCGCCAGGGAGAAGAGGCTAGAAAAAGTGTCCTAAACAAATGCTGGGGATCCGCGCCGTCTGCACGCTGACTTTGGTCATAACAGTCAAACAATCCTCCTACGAACTTGCGCAGACCAACACCTTTTTCCGCCCTCCGACGCGAGAGAAGGCCACCTGGAGGCACCGTCGGTCACGACACTGACACCTGCTGGGCTATGTCCTCGTCCAGAATCGTGACGGGGAGGACGTGCTGGTGACAAAGGCGATTCCGAGTGCTGACGGGTGGACCGACCATCGCCTCGTTATCTCCAAGATGCGGATTCGCCTAGAACCCCGCATGACACCTCAAGGTAAGCGACCCCCAGAGAAGCTGAATATTACTTTGTTCTGAACTACCTGCTCGCCAAGAAGAACAGCCTGCACAAAGCTTATGTCAACTGCTCACCGACGACAACAAAACAACCTTCTTCCCTAGTCATCACCTTGCGCAACAGAGGCTGCGCGAGATGCAGGACACCTGGACGGCTCGCAAAGCCGAGCAGCTCCAGGGGTACGCGGACCGCAACGCATGGAATAACTGCTTCTCCGCCACCAAGGTGGTCTGCGGTCCGCCAAACAAAGCAACTGCTCCTCTTCTCAGTGCCGACTGTAGTATCCTAGCCACTGAGGAGACACATATTCTACAGCGATGGGCCGAGCACTTCGGAAGCGTCCTCAACCGTCCCTCCACCATCTCCGATGCCGCCATTGCTCGTCTGCCTAATGTGGAGACCAACACCGACCTCGACCTCCCGCCCTCCCTCCACGATACCATCAGGACCCTGCAGGAGCTTTCCAGGGGAAAGTGCTTGGATCGGACGCGATCCATGCTGGGATCTACAAACGTGGTGCATCCCAACTCATGGATCATCTGACGGCGTCCGTCCAGGAGATGTGGCATCAAGGAGAAGTCCCACAGGATTTAAAGGGCGCCTCAATCGTCCATCTCTACAAGCGGAAAGGGAACTGCCAGCTCTACGACAACCATCGGGCATCTCCTTACTGAAAATTGTCAGTAAACTCTTTGCTCGCCTCCTCCTTAACCGCCTGAACAACCATCTGGAACAATGTCTCCTGCCGGAAAGCCACTGCGGCTTCCGCCGTCATCGTGGGACCACGGACATTACCTTCGCCGCCCGTCAACTCCGGGAGAAGTGCTAGGAGATGTGGACCCACTTTTACTTAACCTTCGTGGATCTGACGAAAGCCTTCGATACGGTGAATCGTGAAGGACTGTGTAGAAGCATACAGAAATTCTTCTGTCCAAGATGATTCATTCAGATGGTACGTCAGCTCCACGATGGCATGATGGCGCGAGTCACGGACGATGAAGCTGTCTCAGAGGCATTTGCAGTGACCAACGGAGTGGAGCAGGGCTGCGTCCTCGCGCCCATCCTCTTCAGTCTCATGTTCACTGCCATACTGTTGGACGCCTACCCTGAAGAACGCCCCGGGGTCCGCGTCGCCTTCAGGACGGACGGCCACCTACTCAACCACCGGCTAATGCACTTTTAATCGCGTGTATCCACAACCGCCGTCCACGAAATTCTCTTCGCCGATAACTGGCCCTAAACACCACCTCAGAAGGGACATGCAAAGGAGCATGAATCTCTTCGCTGCCTGCGAGAACTTCGGTCTGAACATCAACACGGAGAATACGGTGGTCATGCAGAAACCGCCACACAACACAGCCCACAATGTGCCGAAAATCAATGTGAACGAAGCCCAACTACAAGTGGTGGACAACTTCACGTATCTGGGCAGTACCCTCTACGGAACACCGAAGACGAAGATGAAGTGGCCCACCGAATTTCCGAGGCCAGTCAAGCCTACAGTCGTCTTCATGTCAGTTTGAATCGTTACGATCTTCAACCCAGCACGAAATTAAAGATGTACAAGGTCGTTATCCTACCTATCCTACGTTGTTCCATGGAGCAGAGACCTGGACGGTGTACATGAAGTAGGCCCCACTACTTCCACCTTAGCTGTCTTCGTCGACTACTGAAGCTGAGGTGGCAGGACCGGATCCCAGATGCGGACGTAGTGGAGCGGACGGTAATCCTCAGCAGCTACGCTATGCTGAGACAACTACAACCACGCTGGAGCGGCCACCTCGTACAGATGGACGACGAGCGGATACCCAAACAGCTCTTCTATGGAGATGTCGAGACGGGTTCACGCCGTAAGGAGGTCAAGTCCGGCGCTAAAAAGGATACTTTTACAACCTCCCTGAAGGACCTGCGGAGCAACCCGGCAAATTGGAAAGACCTCGCCCAGGACCCACCTACACGGAGGAGAACAGTGAAGACAGATGCAGCAGTCTTTGACGCTAACCACGTAATCGCCGTCAAAGCCAACCGCGAGGTTCGTAAATTTTAACTGCATCCACCTCTCAACGCAAACGCTCGATCGTCTCGACCTGTGTACGATGCCAACAGACGTTTCGAGCACCGATCGGCCTTATGGGACATCGTCGTATCAACTGCAGTACCCGGACTATACCAGCCGCTGTCTCCCTGTCCACTTCTCCCTCGCCTCCCACACCAACAAACACCAACACCACCACTGTCAACACCAGTGCTGAGGACCTGGTCCTCATTGCGATTAAACTTTCGCCTTCTCCATCACCGAAACTGGTACTGACACCGCCGACTTCTCATCTCCAGTGTTCCTGTACATACACCGCACACATCGGCCTGGTCGGTCACTTTCGAATGCATCACACAACGACTGGCAAACCACTGCCCGCAGCATCAACCTACACTCGCCGCATCCGCCTCCACTGTTCACCCTGCACTCGCTTATTTATCCACCGCGTGGGTCTATTAGGCACCACGCGCATCTACGTAAACCTGCGGTGGACAAACGTCGGCTGCATCATACCATCACCCTCCTTCACCAGCATCTCACCGCATACCAACATCACCCATTGCCAGCACCCAATTGTCACCTCCCATGCAAGTGAGACGTGTTCGCCTCGGTCCCGTCTCCATGCGACTCCTAAGCTGCATATGTGGTTGGGATTTGAGACGAAGACGAGGCGTCGGACGCCGTGGCTCGGGAGGCTCCTAACTGACGCCCCAACTCAGTCCACGCGGTCTGCCCAGTTGTCGTGCGTGTCGTGTGAAGTGACGGACTGGTGGGAAGAGAGCCAGGTTGTCACGGCCCCTTCTCAAGCGATCTGTGACAGTCTCATGCATGTGAAGAGGGTGTTTGTGTTTGTGTGTGGGCTTTATGGGTAGTGCCTCTCAGTCGACGACTGTTTGGTTACCCAACCTTGAAGGGTGACGGCTCATGCTAAATGCGCAGCCACATGTCGCCCTTCTAGGTCGAAAGGTCTGAAAGCGTGTGCTATGCCAGTATTAGCAAACCATGTGTCTCGCAGCCTGGTATGCGCTGGCAGTTCCCTGACGCCTGGTTCCCTGCCGGTAGATGCGTTTGCGCTCCCGCGGAGTATACAGGTGGTGAGCATAACTGCCCAGTCATCATCCTCGTCCTTCTGATCGCCATTGAGGCGAAAAATCCTGGTCGAGTGTATATTGTGGACCAGGGGGTGTGGTTGCACGCCTAGGTGCGGGCCCGGCCTCGCCAGCCGCCTGCGTCCTCCCCACCTTCGGTCTTCTTGGTTCTGTCTTGACACCGGGTCCGGGTGGGGGAGGAGGAGAGAGTGCGGTAGATGCTGAGTAAGTGTACTATCATTATAACCTAATTCACGCGCAAGTCACCGTGCCTGCTGCACCTTGGTGTGAAGCACACGATGGACATCGTCCGAATCGACGGTCGAACTGTTACTATTTCGCAAATGCCATATCCTCTTAGCATCTATGCTTCATTATTATTTTTTTCGCATCCTGCATATTAAAGCAACATGTAGAAATTTTTGAAACTTAACCACTTTTCATGCCTACCAGTACCGTTGCCATGGAGTCTTAAAGGCTTCTGTCATTTACTCCAAGTATACCGACTGATCTAATGATTGCAATAAAAGCAAGGTTATCATGAACAGAACGCAGTTCACATTAGTGTTCACATTGGCGTACCTGAAAAAACATGATTTGAAGGAACATCAATATCAGCCATGGAATTGCTCGCCGGATCCTCAAAGTTAGTCAGACCACTGGAAGTTTACAACATTCCGTTTGGAATTGCAGCGACGTCCTCCTCAGCAACAAATTGGGGATGTACATGGCTGCTGAGCTGATTACCTCCCTGTAAGGGGCCGAGACGTGGAAAATGTACGAAAGTCAGGCAGGAACATGGGAGACGAAAAGTATCGTATATAGGCATCCTGGAAGGAACGCGCACTCAGAATGTACGCTACTCTGAAGCAGGTGCAACTTTGCTGGTGTAACCATTTCATTGGAACAACTGGCGAATATCTGCTCAAGCGATTATTGTCCGACGATGAGGTTATTGGTACGCACAGATGAGGCAGACAAAATAGTACATCCTGCACATTGCCACATGACCGCAGCATTGTGTTACTTTTGGAGCGACAGTCAGAAACCAACGACAAATTTCCGATGAGGATTTTATGAAACCCTCTTCGAAAAGAGATCCGAGGCCCCTCAGTAAAGACTATTTCGCATGGAGATAGGGACCAGTACGTGTGTAGTAGGAGGCGCACTCAGCGTACAAGCATCAGTCAGGAACAAGAAATCACTTTCAATTTAGTTGCCTTCGTAGAACTCCGAAGGTGAAGTGAGAGGAGAGTTATCCGTCGTCCTGAAAAAAACTCGCAGTCAGCTCTAATGCCACTCTAAAGTGGGCGGAACTGCGACAGTTCGGACGCGTCGTTATGACTGACGCCGAGTGCCTACTCGAGCGATTGTGTCCGATGATGATGGAACTCCCAGACAAGACAGAGAAAACAGAGGACACTAGGACGTCCTGGAAATTCCTCTCAAGCATCTGCGATTAATCGAACGGACGTAGGAAGTTCTGGCGCAGAATCGGCCTTCGTGGAGCACAGCCGTTCGGACCGGAGCAGCCATCTGTGGAGTCAATCGAATGCTTGAGACCGAGCTGAGGCGTGAGACATTCAAGACCCGAATTTTGCAAACCAACATCACCAAATCAAGCCCTATACCAACCCGTTTTCATTGCTAGTTGCCATTCGGACCAAAGGATGCGCTCGTTAGGCAGCTTCGGATCAACCACAATGTCGCCACGATCAACCAATTTTAAACATCAGCATGCACACCACCACCACCACCACCGCACACATCCATACAACTCTCGTCTGTCTTCACCTTAGCACCACTTTGCGGTCGCGGTTCGTCGTGATTCGGCGTATACATGCTTACAATAACAAGGACGCTGTCAGAATACAGATTATATTCACGAACGTCAACTAGTACGCACATCGCCCACAACAACGTGGAACATTATCAGAACATCCAGTGCATCTACCGTCTGGAGTCACTTATCTGTCAGTATGACAACCTGCGAATTTATCGTTAGTATAGATCCGAATCAGGGTGCTGAGTTCCAATGAATACCACTATTTCTCCTCCACCTTTCCGGCGATTCCTGATAAAGTTAGACACTATTTTGACCTATTTTGTCATTAGGCCTACACAACAATATGCGCTTAGACAACGTGACTCGCATCGACACTTTACACCAGTACAGTCTACACACCACCAATGCATGGGCCTATTCGGCCATGGGTATGGGGACGTCAATGATCAACAAATCGTCTCCATTCACCTATGCGACCATTGTCTAAGATAATTCTTCGGCCTCTTGATGACTGGTGTGACATTACGTTTAAACACGTTTATCGCTCGTTTATATTAAATCTGCATTTAGGAAAAGTCTAGTGCGTGTAAAATGAGACTCAAAAAGTGTGTGTCAGTCATCCCGCTCAGTCACACCACAATCATGTCCAAATGCTTGAACAGTCCACTGTGATATGGAGAAAATTAGAAGCATGTGGTTCCCATTTCCCCAGTGGAAACTAGCGAACGCTCTTTACTGCTATCACAATCAGCTAACAGTTCTGGCTTGGAGGAGTGTTAACTAAAGAATGATACGACCCCCCCTCCCCAGGATCGAGAGACAGACTGCAATAGTTTCGTCTCGCTTATACATCTGAGTTCCGACAGTGATGTAGACGCACCGTACTGCAAACGCATTCACGTCAAGTCCCCACTGAGTCATCTCAGGTACAGTAGTGCCAGCATAACTTGCGGTGAGCGCAATGGTATCGAGGTGATAATATTAATAGCACACCATCTGCCATTTATGGAAGTCTACCAATTCATTTCTTTAACTCACACCCTTCCACATCGAGAGACCTTGCTGTGAAGGACATCAGTCCAAAGCCTACTGTCTGATTTTTAATAACTTAGAAACTGAAAACGTTTGGAAAACCGCTGAGATTCTAATGTCCAGGGACGTCGAATTGAGATTTTATTTTTTCACATATAGCCATCGTAAAATGTATGTACTCGTCCGCTTAAAAATACCACGAACAATAGGAAAACATTGCAGAAGTGCAAGGTCCCTTGGCTTGCCACATAATATTCAAATTTCAGTGGTGATACCTCTTAGTCATCAAGTGACCATCTTGTTTTAAGTTTGTTTATACTCGAAGGTTTGTCCGACAAGTACCTAGACATCTCACTCTTTTCTGTGAACCACTGCCATTAAAATTATACTGACAGTGGACATAGCTAACAGGTATAGAGGACTACAAGTAAGTGGCATTTTCCGAAGCTACTTATATTAGAGGCAGTAGAATAATATGGTCAGTTTGGTAATGGCCGTCACAGAAGGCAGGAGTAAAAGTTCACCTTCCTGATCGAACCACAATGGCTCCTCCGTGGTTCATTAAGGAGTGTCTTTAAGAAGTTTGCGAAAATCCGGCTAGAAGTCGTTCCAATAATAAACTTGGCGAATTCATTCTGTATCATGACAACACGCCAGTCCATAGGATCTTTCAGTTTTGTCAATTTAACCCTTCATACTGGGACTGCGTAGTGTTTCTAAATGTATGGTCATTTGACTAAAACTCGAGAAACTCTTTTCTTCTGTCCAGAAGTCGAATATGCTAAAAGAGGCCGATGATAACCAATGCTTAGATTGCTGTACTCATCGGCCTAAAACACACTAAACCTGAGGGAAATTGTGTGAAAGTGCGATGACTTGTTAGCTGGAAGCCCCATGCAGCCCTACTGTCAGCATTAGCGGGCAGCGCATCAAGCAAAGTGTCCCACATCATGCGGGCTGTGCACATGACCTTTCAGTCTCTGAAGTTTAGTAGATGAAACCACTACTTGAAACGTCAAACCTCCAATAAACCTCTCCCAGTGAATGCCCCTTCTTTTTTGAAGTCTGTTTTACCTTCGCAAAGCCAGAGTCAGCAAATGCGACTTTCCGATTAGCGATAATTAGGTCTGCAAAAGGTGAAAAGCAATCAATGGAAGGACCTGAGGAGAGGGTTGAGGTGTTTCCGGATGTGCCAGACAGGGGGGAGGAAGAAAATTCGAAATCTGAGGTCTAGACGCACGAAATGGTGTCGGTAGGATGCGGTTGCGTTTCGTTGTTGTGAAATAAGACCATCTGATGCAGGCAGGAATGGCGGTAGGAATGGGTTGGACTCACTTTGGATCAGGATAGCACGATGAGAAACAGGTTGAGAGTTCTGTCCCATAAAGTAAAGACCTACAGAACTGAAAGCGCCTATTGTGACATGTTGAGGCGGAAACGAGCACGTATTTCACGCAGCAGGATTTACTGATATACGCTCACCGCGCAGGATAAACTGCGAAAAAATTAAGAGGTATGTTTTTTAAAAAACAGCTGTATCATCCAGTTAAGTAATAATGGGGGCGAACATTCGAGTTCCAGGTACCTGTATGAGTAAGGAAGGATGGTTGATCCCCGGAGCAATTTGTTCTTTATTCTGAGCTTCCCAACTCGTTCAAGAGTCGATCGTCAGAGACAGTGTCAGTAACAGAACAAGCAGCAGTTATGGGGAGTGCCAGTTAATAGACAATCAGTGGCGCGGGTATGGAGGTGACTGTGTTGGGATCTGCATGCCGGCGCCCGATCGACACATCGATTGACCGAGTACTCATCTGATGCCCAGGCTCCAACCAGTTCTCGACCTGTCTTGTTTCCGGCGTGGGCGATTATCTTGGCAGCCGCGAATTTGAGCAGATGACTCATTTCGAATTAGTAGGTTGCCATCTGTGATAATTCGTCGTCCTGTCGCATAGCCGGCTTGTGCTTTTGGTATGCGCGATCCCAACTTGCGTCCAGTTGGCCCGTGTAGTTTAAGGATCGCCCAGAAACGGGATGTGATATGCAATCCCGGACCGCTCCTTGGTGCTTAATTATTTTTTTCTCATGGCCCTGCTGCGCATGGTAGCTTTGGGCCGGTGTGCAATTCCAACACCTAGTCTCACAGCAGTGCGCTTTGTCACTCCCGAGGCGTACATTCCCTATGGCAGAGCACGCCATATCATTGGTAGGGTTTCTGTGGCGGTAATCCAGGTGCGAGTGTGTGAGCATCGGCTTATAAACGTCTTTCGAGAGTCATTCCCCATAAACTGGTCGCAGAGATATCGATCCTCGCCTGCCTCTCCCTCCAGCTTACTGGGATGAGTCTGGATCAGTTTTAAGGGCGTAAACACAGCTTCCTTTGTAAACCATCGAATTGTTGCTGTGAAAACTGAGAATTTACATAGTGTTCGTTGCCCTCCTGTAAACCCTCGTCTAACTTTGACCGCTAGAACTTCGTCTGGAGAACACATCAAGAAAGGACAGCTACCGTTTCTGTTCTTCATCATAGCTCTTAGATCTTAGGTTTTATATATCCACCATTTGTCTTAAAACTTTTCATGCAGCATCTTATCACGCTGCTCGCTGGCTCGTGTAGTTCTGACTCTGTGATTTTTTCTCACACTCTCTGAGTAACCTTCTTTAGCTCTCGAGTGCTCTAGAGCTCGACCGTAGAGTTCATATGCCGCATATATTTTCAACCGAGTTTGGGCATGAACTGAGCCCTAACCTATCCAGCAGCGTAGAACTCTGTTACCTACGCCCTTGCTCTGAATGTTCGGTGGCGTGAAACAGGCAAATAACATGCAAAACGGCATCCGTCTACATAATTGTTTGTGTTAGACGTAGCAGTCTGTCTGATGCACAAAACATCAATCATAAAATACCCGCAACCTTGACGGTTCTCAAGTGATTCACGATCAATCTCCGCTTCAAATTTTGCTGCAAAAACAATGCATCAGTCCTCTGGCTATGACGGTAATGCAGCCAATTTAAACGGGCGTTTTCTTGCCATTACAGTACACTCTCCCATTTTTCACTCCATAGGATACTTGGGTTATCCCAGTGCAGGCGGTAACTTTTGTGGTGTGTGGTCAGAGGAACAAATCGCTGAGCTTATCGCAGAACGCGAAGGACGACCTGCCCAAGGTAGTTTTGCTATCTGCGGTGAACAATCAAGTTATCACTTCTATCTAGTGTTGCAGAGACTTCAGATTTGATCTACAGTCTCACAATTTAACCGTCTTCCTGATTTGTTTAGGTTTCGCTATGACCAGTTGGCTGGTCTCTACGCGACTATTGTCGCCTTGGAGACGAAAGCACTTTGTTCCTTACTGCTTATGCATTTTAAGTTATTTTGCAAAATCATATGATGTTAACTTCTTCCTTCCTTTGTCCTTACTTATCTCGTAATCCGACAGTAATGCCTCTTTCACGACATACCTGCAGTCTAAAAATAGCCATCCGCTGAGAGGAACTTCCACCGATCAGTAGGTAAGTCGTACCCACTCCCTGATTCGGTTTTTATTGGTTAGTCGTGGCTATTGGTATCAAATAAGTGAACTCGATATGCTGTAGTCGATTGGGGGGAGGGATGATGGGTAAATTAAGCGACTTAGGTAAAATACTCTAACCCGGGGTCTAGTAGCTCCGGTGGCTAAAGTGTTGGCTGCACTAACGGTATGTCACTTCTTTCACGGGTTCTAGCCCCACCAAAGTCGCCAAGTTTTTCCCAATCGGCCATACACTTGCTTTCTCGAAGTACCCGCACAGGGAACGTCTAGAACTTGATGCATAAGATCTACTCAGCAATTAGTAGTGGCATAGTCGCGCTCGTATAGCCGTAGGTTGCAATTCAGTACCCAATGTGGATAACTACTAAAACAGTAAACAAACTTTAAGGACGCTTTTGTGGTGTATCCATTGTCAGAAGCGCAGGTGCTATGCGTCCATAGGCGCGTGCATACCATTAAAATCAAAGAAAAGTATCGTTTGAAATGAAATAGACTTGATACAAATGAAGTACTAAGAAAGTTCTTAAATTGCACAATGTCGAAACAAAGTGGTTTTCCCAGTCCTCATTTTCAGAGCGCACAATTTTGTTAAGCTTGCCTGAGCCCGCATTTGGCCAGGCGAAGTGCACCTCTCAACGCCTACCCGTTTCTCTACTGATTTATGCGAGAGTTGACAGGAGTCATATTAAGTGTGCAAGAAGACTGCCGTGAACCCGCAGACCATGACACCACGGTTTCCTATAAAAGGTGACGGACTGGACCTCAGAAACAAGCACTGAGGTCAAGCAACTTGACTGTAGGCAAAACAGGTTGCACCAACCACAGCGCAAAATGCCTCTTAGAGACAGAAAGCTGCAGTCAGGAGTTATTTTGTTGATTTCGCTAATCGCATGGACAGACCTCTCTGGGGCGGCTGTCCTTCCCAGGTCCATGGATCGTGAGAAGCTGGAGGTTCACTGCATTGAGGAATACGGAAAGTACTGTGGTGGGAAACTGAGTGGATTCAGGCAAGTGTGTAATAAGCACTGGGGGATGGCTCAATGGTACTCCTAATTTTTGGAAGTCCAGCTAACCCCTCACAACTGTAGCGTAAACGCTGTACCCAGCAGTTTGTCAGTTAACAGAGGTATAGGCCATAGTAGTGGAATTCTGTGGTCGACGGTAGTTTCTCCACCCTAATTGGCGAACAGCAGCACTACCCTGAATGGCAAAGATGGATTGGTTATGGAACACCAACCCCCACCACCACCACCGCCACCTTCAGGTGCCAAAACAAAATCAAAATAACGGCTGCTCATGCAGCTTTGCAAAAGTTTGGGGAGGCAAAGTCGTAGTGGTTGCTGGGTGTGTGCCATTTGCCGGTCCCCTTATTCGTAGATGACATATACTTCTGTGAGATGCCATTCAGTCGTCACTACACAAGTATTGTACTCATGCACAATCGGTACCTAGCAAACAAGACACATGCATAGCCTGGTTCGTTAGAAAACCGTCCTGGTAAGTGATATCCTCTGTTTAATAAAATCATACCAGATTACCAAGGGCTCTCCCATCCCAAAACCCTTCCTACTACGATTTGTATACACGAACCCATTTCGTGTGGTGATACTTATTTTATGCATCGAGATATGTCCAGGCATCCATATATTTAAGCTCAAAACTTCCTCAGTTGCTTCATTTTTCATGAGGTTTAAACCTTGAGCAACTTATTTACGAGAATAAATCTGCCTTTTTAGGTTCAGCGATGGCTGCCGTGTTTGCAAATGCGATAAAACTTCCGTCCTCTGCAAAAAGGGTCCCTGCCGATTCTTTGCACGGCTTGATGAGGACGCATTGGACTACTGTGATGGCGTTCTATCACGTGTAAGAAGTGCCCGTTTTCGACACCATTTTTTGACGGAAATCAGTCGTCACACGATGGGCTAGCTTTAAGTTGGATTCGCCAGCTTCCACTAATTCGACCCAGCCATTCAACAGCTGCCCACCTAGACAGGAAGTTTGAACTCACGATGGTCGTTTCAAGGCCTGCCGATAAGCAGGGCATTCATTATTGAGAAAGGGGTTCGCACTCCATCGACTAGGACGCAAATATTTATCGAGATAACTAATTACTCAGATCCGAGCTGATCACAGCACGCAACATGTTCTCTATTGTTTATCTGAAAATTTACTCTCCAGTTTCTGGCAGACAGTCTTGTTGCTCCAAACAATAAGTAACAGAATCAGTTGTCAGTTGACTTATTTCCTACTCTTTAGCAGATATAGTGCGTGCAAACCAAGAAGATGTATCAGATTCTTGCATAAAAATCAAATACCCACGCCCTGATAACTCTGCAAATTTCAAGCGCTAAGGTTATCGGAAGTATTCGCGTCCTCGAAATCAACAAAATAAAACTAGAAATAGCCCTCTACGCCCGACAAACGTGCTGAGTTGGTGCTCATTGCCGGCATGTTAAGAGCTTAGTGGAGACGAACAGAGTCAATGACTGTACTCGGAGAGCACTTATATTCTCTTTGCGTTCCCCATGACATAAAGTGAGCCGTTACTGAGTGGAAGACGAGGGAGTGAAATACTGTTGGCTTGTGACAACTTAAGTGTCTGCCATTAAAATTTGATTAGGATGAATTTATATGCAGCTCAAGGCACAATTTGGACTTTCAAGTGCTGAGAGAATCAGAAGAGGAATTTAATGTGACGAGATTATGGTGAGCGGCACCTGTGATAAGGAATGACTTTTTGACCGCTGAAAAAAGCGCTCGGGGTTTGCAGAAGAAAATGAATTCTTAACCAGTCACAATATTTTATGTAAGCTGAAGTCGTCACATTTGAAAGACTTCTAAGCTGTCGTGGGATCAACCCCATGTTGTGATTATAGGTTAGCCGTGCGAATCAGGAGCGATAAATCTTACATTCTCAAAGGCTGTTATGAATGCTTATTTAGTCTAGCACACAGAAACGAAATTGCAATTGTCAACCATTTAACTTCGACTTACTATAATTTCCTTCCGTCCGTGTGGAGTGTCTCACCAACTTGGGTCTGATATGTCACATCTCATTTTAAAGATATGTGGCTCGACGAAGTTATAATTAAAAGAGCCAATACTAATGTAGACAGGACCCATCCAACGCCTGTGCCAACAAGACGGCGATTCATAAAGTTTAAAAACAAAGCCACTGTGTGAATGCAAAAAATGGTTTTAGAATGCACTTGGGCCTAAGGGATCCTACGAATAAAGTCTATAGCAACGGTCGGAGTGAAGTGTTTGGGTGAATCTGCCACTTGCACTGTTTGATAACCAAGCCAACTGCGTGAATATTCGAGAGATTGCTGGTATCTTTCGGTACTTACAACTGCGGAAGTTTTCCTTGCAGCTACTGATAAACATAATCTTTCATGTAATCACCTCATTGGAATTTATTAGTGCTAATGCGCACAGAAAACCATTATATGTTTCTGCGTTTAAAAAATGTATTTGGGTTTTTGGGGCGCAAGTTTATTATCCACGGATTTCCTGGTTCTATCTGTCAGTACAACCGGTTATTTCAGCATATTATTATTTTCATTGTACCAACATAAAATCAAGTATGGAAAGCATAAACTGAGCAGAGGTCTACAACCCTCAGTACATTTGGAATGACAGTTACTTTCTAAAAAAAGGTAGTGGCAGCTCAGGCTCCCTTCTAAGAGAGTTCCAACAAGCGGCTCTTCCTCAGAGAACGTCAGGAGAAGAAATCTTTGGTCATCCGTCTTGTACAACCGACTGCTTTAATTTAAACGTCAGAAAGCATAAAAATTGGCGCTCTGTATCCTCCGTCATTTAGACAGGGTTGCAAAAACTATCTGAAACAAGCACCACTGGAATTAGTGCACTCGTTTTGATAGGTGTCAGGTGGCTTTTGCCCCCTGAAAAAGGCAGGAAACAAACATCTAAAATGAAATGTCACGTTCTCTAAACAGGGTTTAGCGGTCTAAGCTACATTCCATACTTAATTCTAGCTATAGCCCCTATTCTCAGCACTCCAGTTATGTTAATTTACCTTTGGTTGCTATATTTTGACCGTCTAGAACGCAATAGCTTACAAGGACTTCACAAGGAAAGCCAAGGCCGAAAAGCAGAAACAACAGGCAGTACAGGGACCCAAAATCGACACAAGTAGTCTGAAATTCAATATTAAATACGACACCAAGCCGAGAAGCAAGATGGAGGAGCAAGCGATCAACCACGAGATGATCGGTGTCCTGCAGAATCAAGTGGAGGGTGCACTTCAACAGAGCATGGATCAGGCTGCCAAAAGGCGCTTGAGTGAAAGGCGCCCCGGCGTGACCGCAGAAGATTCGGTCCCTGCGGGTAGAGGGGATCCTGTGGACGCCAGTGATTTTAGAAGGATGTTTGGAAGACTTTCTCGATTACCCACCCGCCGTCCCCAGTCCACCGACGCGATGGGATCCCAACTACCTAATCTTGGATCTGGTGGCATGGGTGTCGATGTGATTCGCCCCCCTAGCAGCGCTGAAAGTAGCCCGCAGTCTGACGTCAGGGCCGCCGTCGGCTTGCAGAAAAGAGTGCCGGCACAACAAATCGAACCCCAGCTCGAAAGAACGCTGACTGCAGGAGGCCTTGGTAGAGAAAGCATTCTACCGCTGGAGAGTGGTCTGCCGCGCCGGACCATACAGACACCTGCTCACGTTCAAGCCGCTCCAAAGCCTGTTATGACGGTGTTAGGTGAGAAGGAGACAGCAAAGGGACACGCTGTTCCACCGGCTCCACATATGATTTCAGAAAAGGATTTACTTTCCCAGGCAGCACCCCCGTTGCCTCCACAAGTGGGTATCAAAGGGTTGGCCCCTGGAGCCGTTGTACCACTGCCCACGAAAGTGGTTAATCGAGACCACAAACCACTGAAGGCCCCTGCAGTGGTACCGCCACCGCCAATGCCGCAGCGTCCAGCAGTCATAGAAGGGCCAAAGATACAACAGCCTGCTTTGGGCCTGCATCCACAAGTTTTCAGCAAGACCGGTCTGCCTGCGTCAGGGAGAACAGGACCGGCGAATCTGAACGTCGCAGCTGTACCGATTCCTCCACCTCCTGCACGCCGTCCTGTCGTGCCTTTGGCAAAAGACAGAATTCCCACACCCCCCGTCGCACCCAAAGTGGTTTCTGAAACAGACAAAATTCAGCCGTCCAAGGAAAGCCTTGACTTGTCCACTCTCATTGACAAACTCAATATCAAGAATAATCCCCCGAAGCAGGAGGTATACAATATCCAGAACACCGGTCGTCTCTCAGCCCCACTACCGCAAATGCCACCTGCACCACCAGCTCCACTAGCAGGGGCAAAACTTCCCTCTCAACTCAAACCTGATACTGTACTCGAGGACTACTTCCTCCGACAACCTGCCTTCGAAGATTGGCCACCACTCCGACAGCCATCTCCACCCATTCACTTTGTTGGCACGCTTAGAGACAACGAGGAAAGCCCGATGCTTGAGGAGGATGTGGTACGTCAGTCAGTCTCTCACGTAAAGCCAACAAACCTCGACCGGCTGCAATGGCAACCGTTTAACGAGTATGTCCAAGAACCAAAGGCTGATGTTATGCCAGCTTTCCATGCCTTACCAGAGTCAGTGCCCTGCGATAGACACCAACACGGATCGATTCCGGAATCAGAACTGAGTGCGGCCTATGAAAAGTCCATGCCGGAGGGCTTTTTACCGACCGATCGGCACAGAGAGACCTGGCCAGATTGGCAGGCAGTTCACCTCGGTCAGCACCGCCAGCACCCGCACCTCTACCGACCAGCCCCTGAGCCCCTAGGAACTCTTGAAGAGGTCAATCCTTTCTCGCGCATCAGCTCTTACATCCAAAACCAGCAGAAACAGAGCGGTCACCTTCATGGAGATAACAATGGGAAGATGTCCGAAAAAGTGAAAAATCTCCTGGACCTGACCAAGGCAGCAATTGAACTCCTTGTCAAAGCCAACTACACAGAAGCCAAGCTGCTACAAAACTTCACTCAGGTTGTCTCCGTAAATAACACCACAAACGGAACTGCTGCCATTATCAGTACCAAGAAAATGGGCAGTAACAGCACTGACCTCGGACATACGGTTGAGGCCCATAGTTACGCTGCCGACAGGGGAACAGCACTACGACAGCAGGTGAAACAGCTTACGGCCATCATCACCAAGTTGCAAGAACTCGTGCCCCAAGTAGAAGAATATGCCAGGGAAGAGGAGGAAGAGGAGAAGAATAAAGATTCTGTGGGAGAGGTGAACCAACTCATTTCTGCAACCAGTCTGCAGACAGAAAGCTCGCCCACTGGTGTCATCCTGATGTCACCCCTTGGTGCGGCCGTGGGAGCTGTCCGTGAGAAGGATGACCGTGAACATCTACTGGTGAAATTGGAACATTGTGAGGCCTATTCGGCTAAGCTGCTGAAGGCCCTAGAGGAGAAGAAGATGCTGGACAGTCTCGGTGGTGTGTCCAGTTCAGCCACTTCCAAGGAATACCTGCTTTCTCTCCTCAGTGCCTTAAAACCCCTCTTGTGAATGGTTTGGCTGGCGTTAAAAATGTGATTACAGTGTCTTGTTTGTGACCATAGAATTTTTCACATTAGGTTTCAAAACGGTGTATGGAAAGGGGTCAGACCAAGTCTACATTCTGGATGGGGTTTCGGAAATGTTTCGTGTAGACTTATAAATATAAAAAGACCAGGATATTTGATCGTCGTTTTCGGCTTAAATCCGACAGTAAGACATACCTCTATGCCTGCAATCAATTCTAGGATGACAGCTTAATGACTGCTGCTTACTCATGCAGACTAACCCCCCATCTTTTGGTAGGTAGAACGCGATTCTGCGCATCTCGGGTATTGCAGGCGACCTTGCACTAAATTCTAAGGGCGTTAGGGTCAGCGCTAAGGTTAGAATTCGGGTTAAAGTTAAGACACGGGAATGCTCATCCGCTTGGAATTTAGCGTAAAGACACCTGCAGTAGGGCGGAGTACTTTTATCCGGGTCCAACCGATGGAATACTGAATTTCGTCCATTTATACCGTCGGCAAGGGGAAGAGCTCATGCAACCGATCGTCGACAATCGCCCAGTTTCATAGAATATTGAAATAAAAATTCCTTCTGCCTCACTTTGCATCGCCCTCCCGGACAGTTATTCCTTTGTTTTGCATGCCGAGAAACCGGTTACATCTTCCAAGGTCCCTTGGCTTATTTTTATCACAAATAAAAATCTGCTGCAAGATTAGCACTGGTGAAGGTTAGGTGTACTGGGAAAGCCTTAAATGGACTGCCCGTTCTGAGTCCAACGCAAGTGTGGTTGGTGACTCACTTCTTCAGGAGCTCTGAAACTTCAGATATAATCGACTCGAAAAAGCAATGCGTCTAGAATAGTAAGTGACGCGACGTTATGTGTAGACAGTGCTTATTTGTACAAGCTTGCCCATGAGTTTAGCTGTCAAATACATGTTATGGGCCCAGAAAGATAGCATTCAGTTTAAGAGACATTTTCTGAAAATGTGAACGGTTCCGTCGGAATTTTCGCGAATCTAAAGTGCTTTTAAAACGTAAATATGCATTATATTTTATCGATATTAATGTCCATTGGCAATTACAGCTTATATCCACCAGATGGGTAGCAAGTGGATTCCGCGGTGGAAAAACTGTTGACCTTTTGAACCAATCCACTGATTGGGCAAATTTTTGATTCCTTCATGAGGACTAAAACGCTGTTCAGCACGACCATGTTGCGTCGGCCAAAACAAATGATAATCTGATGGAGAAATGTCCGGTGAATACGGCGGGTGGAGGAGGATTTCCCATCGAAGGGTTTCCAAAGTCTTCTTTGCTCGTGCAACAGAGGACCTAGCGTCGTCATGCCTTCAGTGTTATTCTGGCCCTTCCATGTCCAGTGCTCGACTGAAACAGGCTAACTGCTGTTGATATCACGCACCGGTAGGAGTGTCGGATAGCCGCAGTAACTCATAGTACACCACTCCTATTTAGTCCCGCCAGATACACAGCACAACTTGGTTTCAGTGAATATTTTGCTTTGGCGTTAATGGGTGACATGCACCTCGCTGAGCTTTGATTCGAATGTCCTACGGACCACCACCACCAACACTAATCTCGACCTCCCGCCCTCTCTTCATGATACCACCAGGGCCGTGCAGCAACTCTCCGGCCGAGAGCACCCGGATCATTTGCAATCCCCGTTTAAATTTACAAGCACGACAGCCCCCAACTTATGAATCACCTGAACGTGTTCTTCTATAAGATGTGGCGTCTAGGACAGGTCCCTCAGGGCTTCAAGGATGACACAATCGTCCATCTCTGCAAGAAAAAAGGAACTGCCAACTGCGCGAAAACCACAGAGGCAGCCTCCTGCTCAACATCGCCAGGAAAGTCTTCGTTCGCATCCTTCACAACCGTCTGATCAAATATCTGGAACAGGGTCACCTACCAGTGGCTGCGTTCAAGTATTTTGTAATACGTTTTTTACTGTCTATAACTACCTGAAAGCACTGTCTGTCAAAACATGTAAAATAAAACGGCGCGAATTAAATCCCCTTACTAGTAGAGCAGGACTCTAGGACCAAATTTATTTTCTGGACCAAGCATCTCAAGTTCCAAGACGCTGCTTTTGTGAAACCAACTAAGCTCACTCGAGTGAAGCCTTGCTTCGCGGTTTGTTTTCACCTAACTCACCGATCTCGGTGGACGTGGTTGGAAATACGTCTAGTTTATGTTATGAAATCCGTAACCCTCCTAGGGTTAGAGACCTACGTTATAGGAACTTTTTTAATTTAATCCTGAAATGCATACGTAGGTTTGAGTTGAATTCCGTCATCTTTTCTGAAATGCCTATGTAATGTTCGCATCTACCAAACCAACTGCAAGTAGTATATGCAATATAGGTAGAAATCGCCTCCTCTTATTCCCAGCACAACCGCTAGCTAAGTGTCCAAAAGCATTCAGTTGATTACCTGTTGCTGCATGTCGGTGCTAAGGACTTGACTTAACAGGGTATCTCCCAATGTTCGGGTGTAGTCTGTGATCAGCACCTAATTTGAAAGAATGAAGTTTGCAGGGGCATCTTAAATTAATGTGCGAAGTTGGAGCAACGTCTTCAGGCGCGACTTTCAGGTTATAAGAGTTGTGATAGCCTTTATAAGAATCTGTCTTCAAATGTGTTGTCTCTACTTCGATGTTCCTCCTTAAGATGAAGTGTATCGCCTAACTGAATCCCCCTCGAAACCAGGTTCAGTTAACCTTTCACTGCGCTCGTTGACAAGGGTACATCAAGTAACCATTGTCCTTCGGTAATACCCTAATAAAATACAGCCTTTTGTTAAAACTTTCGATAGAGGGGCCAGTTCTAGAAGGGAGAAAGTCACTCGCAGTTTCACGTTTGACACAGACTAACTGACTACGCCTGAAGTCCATGTGTCTGTTCTTGGGTTGTTCAGGATCGGAAAAAATGAGACCGCAGTACTATGGAGGCTTGCAGCCCGATTTCAGCGAAGGTGGTGGGTAAATGTCTAGACACATAAGTATTGATCACCTGCTCACTAACCGATAGCACTAGGCATACAGTGAGCACGTGATTAATTCAATAAGGGCTGAAGTCATTTGCATATTGGCTGGGCGGATCACGCGCGGGTATGGGCGTTGGCAGTCAAAGCATTCAAAGACTTCAGATCAGCACTGCAAGTTCGGTCAGCCGAAAATGCACCGCGCATGAAATCGAGTCAGGTAAGTGACCACGGCGCAGCCTGATTCCCTATGGGTTTTTGGCAAGCCGTTACTTCAGAAGCTTAGTTGACCATTATCTCTGCAGAAAATAGCCAGAGAGCCCTTCCATTATGAGGTAGTCGCACTTTTCAGTTTCATTTCAGAAACAGGGCACGCCTTCTGCGATTCTCTTCGGAATACATTATGGCAGCCATGATAACCATCTGAGATAAACTTCACCGTTTGTCTCGGGTTGACGAAAATGTCGAGAGGAAGCCTCCATCCAAAATGTGTGGGGAAGCTAGATAGACGGGAGTGTGGGCGGGACAGGTCATTGAATTCAAGCTACTATTTGACCCATAGTCAATAGTCGAAAAAGAACACAAAAATTGGCAAATTCAGAACATTTGTTCGATGAGCATTCCAGGCACGTCAGTTTTTTCGAACGCGTCACTGCGCAGTCTTGCCTCCCCCGGGTCTAAAGTAATAGATCACTTATTGAGCAACAAGCGTTTCTTAAAAACAAAAGATAAGTGACAGTTCAACCGTCGATTCCGACGACGCTCACCTTGTGCCCCACAGTAGCGTGGGAGCAAGGACAGTGACTTGCGCGTGAATTACTTTGTAGTGTTAGTAGATTTGCGCTGCATCTACTGCACTCACTGCTCCCCTCCCACCTGGACCCCTGTCATGACAGAGTCAAGACTAGCGGAGGCGGGAGAGGGCGCAGTTAACTGACGTGGCGCGAACTGGCGACTAGGCGTGCCAACACACCTCTCGTCTACACACAGACGACCAGGAATTCATATAACAAGAAGGGAAGGGACGGCTAAGGTTCCAACTGAGTGGGTATACCATAAAGGCTCCATTAAGGAGGAGCCATTGCAGTCTGACTCTCAGTCCATCAGCCCGGTACTCAACGCGCAAACACACGCCGTACAGACTGCGAGGCCCCAGTTGAATTGTCAGTTGGGAGCCTTCCAAGCCACGGCATTTAGTGCATCGTAATAGTTTCGGGCACTTTAGGTCGTTCATAGTGAGGAATATGTGCTGGGAGTCGACATCTATCTGTCTCTCTCTCCTCCCTTTCCGTGCACCAGTCAATTGTTGGGGATGGTCAATAAACTGATGTTGAGATTGGAAGAGGCGACTGACAGGGTCAAGACCAGCATGTGTGTGCGTGTCATACACACACGACCTGTCCCCCCACACACACACACACACACACACCAAGATGTCACACGAGGAGATGAACTGCTCGGAACTCGCGTGTTGCAGAAGAACCACATGGAGAAGACACCGAAAAACGCGCTTCCCACTTACGTGTGGGGTGCCTATTTCGTACCCGCAGTGTGTATGTGTGTGCTGTCGTGTCCCCCAAACGGGCCGCGTAGTAGATGCGCTGGACGAACACGGGGACCATGTCAGATTCTGGCAGGCGTTATCGGATTTGGTGGTGTATTCGTCGTCTTCACTGCTTTTCTTCAGACCGATCGTTCCTGAGCGAGGTCAGCCCAGGTCTCGGAGTTGATTTGCAAGTGCTTTAGAGAATTTGTTGCCAACAGTCATCATGGCGTCCTTGCTCAAGGTCCCGTTGGGTCAAGATCATTCACCTTCCCTACGGACGGTTCCAGGCGTACTGACCTGCAGTCACTCTACCGACTTCAACTAGGACGCAAGTGCGTGCACAGAGTCGCAGCTGTTCATGTGCCAACTGAATTCACCATCCCCCTGCGAAAACAGCACAAGCCACTTGAACACTACTCTTCCACAAATCAACACACAAATTGAACTCGACTTCAGAT